TCTAAGTGAATGTAACATTTAAAGTATAACTAGAAATTGTTACATCTGTTCACTTATCCTATTCTGGATTCGCATTAGTTTCTGATTTGGGGATCACTCAGGCTAGTGACTTAATGGAAAGGTTCTGTACTTGCTCAGAATATTTCTGATTTTATTTCCATATTTCTGTTTAATTAGAACAAGGAAGACTTATTAAAGACTGACAGTAGTGCTGTTCTGCCTGACCTTTGAAGTTTCTTTGAAACCTCCTGAGTTGCTTTAAGTTTAGCTATTTAGAACAATTGTCACGTGAGCACAGTGTAAATGTTTAATGTAAGATATTTATAGTCATGTAGAAACAATTCTAATTCTGCGTAGGTTCTTAAGGCTGTATCCATCCCTATTGTATTTGAGTGTTCAGAATGCGTAGGGGCATTATTGGTTGGGGGGAGTTATTAAAAAAAAAAAAAAAAGTTATGGTGATGGCAGAAAAGAACTTTTGAACTTGTAAATGTATTGGGAACACATTTATTGTTGCCACTTTTTTTCAGTCAGGTTTTATTTTTATAATAGTTGTGCAAATGGCAGTGGTCCTATCCAACTTTCAGCATTTTTAATTGCACCATTATTGGGTTTTACTAAAACAAGATAGCTGTTTTTTTTGCAGGCTAGAATGAGTAATCGTTGGAGTATATTTTTTATCCTTGTGTTTACTTGCAGCTGTTATCTAGTTATGTCTCAACTTCATTGCTTCTCTTATTTAATTCTTAAATTTTTGCATTCTACTATTTTTTTGTTTGGAGTGAGTCATTGTGGACCTGCAAATGTTTATCTCCCTGGAACAATATATGCAGAATAAAATACTGCAGTAATTTTTCCAAATTATTGTAGTATTGTTCATCTTCTAGCAGACTTTTTTTAAAGTTATGAATTTATCTTATCCCTCTCTTTTGCCTTTCATTTGATTTTTATGGCCTAACCACCAGTTTGTCTGTGACTTGCTAACAGATTTGCTGGCTGTTGATTTCTGCTGGAAATTATGAAACATGGTTTGTGTGTGATGATTTCAAGAATCAGTCTGTTTTTCCTTTTCCATTTTAATGCACATTACAAAGCAGTGGTAAATTTGTTCTTTAAAAAGGGCCTAAATAAATACTTTGCTTCTTAAAAAGCAAAAATCCTTTATGCTGGTATTTAACAGCCAAGCTACAGTTTCTGTTTTTTTATAACTATTTTTTGATTGTCTAGTCATTCATTTCTTCTGTTAGAAGTATATTTAGTTGAATATTTGATGATTGCTAGTTATTCATCTGCAGTATTGTTAAGCATTTTTCACCTTGATAAATGCAACATTGGGTGAAGAATGTAAAATAAGATAAGCCAGCTTTTTTTATATAACTATCATTGGGTGTCACACGTTGCACTTCTAGATTCCAAAATTATCCAGCAGCCAAGCCTTCTACATTTGTAACTTCACCCGTTTCCTTTTTTCTTCAGCACTTAGTGATGCTCCCTTCTCTTCAATAACCAGTTAATCTCTCTTCATCTACTCCTTTTTTTCTCTAGCCCTGTAGACAATGACTGTTTCCTGTGAGTAAAATAAGAGCTTCTAATATTTCCCTAACTTTGTAGATATTTTTTCTCAGGTCTTGAATGAAAATGTTGATTTGTTTCTACTACTAATCTTCCAAAAGCTATGTTTCTGTAGCTACTACGTGATATTAATACTGCTCCCCCCACCCCAGCAACCTAGTTAGATTTTTTTTTTACAAGAAACTCTCATACTTCAGCTTTGCTTTCCCAGGGTTCTGATATTTTTGCTGCTTTCTCAACCTGGGGCTTGGGATGGCATAGCTATTCTTCCTGATGAATTATGGGGATCTGATCTTTAGATGTTAACTGATTTGATTAATTTGGATGGACAGTTTTAATTCTCATAAACTAGAGTTACTTCCTTGCTTTTAAAGACAGTGACATGAAAATTTGGTCCGTGTAAGCCATCTGGTCCTTTGGAGGTCTGTCAGGCCTCCTTTCACTCACTCATCCCGTTGCCACACTCAGCAGATGCTTTGAAGACTTGATTAGTAGTCTGAAACGCATCTGGTTCAGTAAGCCTAGTTTATGAGAGGGGCAAAGTGTTCATTTAGCTGTATTGTTGCCTTCATATTCTGTGGGGTTGCTGCTAGTTCTGTTCTGCCTAACTCCTCCGGTGCTGTGGGTTTTATTCATGTATAGATCTTGCAACCTGTTGCTCAGCGTGTGTGCTTAAATCATCTATTTTCCACTGTACTTTTTTTTTCTTCTGTTGTTTTAAATGCGGGACCAGTTAGTATTGCTCATCTATGAGGCACTGCTTTTGAGTTCCTTTGTGCCTTGATCCAATGGTGGTCAACCTTTTTTGTCCATGGGGGAGGATGGACAGTGCCTGTTCCTTACGTGGATTGGATTCGGCTGGTAGATCTAGTCCAGTGCCTAGGGCGCTGCCCCTTCTGGCTGTGTGGGGTGCAGGTATACCTATCCCATATCCAGCTGTATGGGGAACGGGGCTTAGCCCAGCCCCAGCCTGGCCCTACAGGTGGGGGAGGGGACATGATCTGGCCCTGCAGGAAGAAGGGGTGTGGCCTGGCTCTTCTGTGAGGGGAGGGAGTGTGTCCTGGCCTCAGTGGAGCCATATGGAGGAAAGAGGAGCGTGGCCTGTCCCTGATCTGGGTGTGGTAGGGGAAGGGTTGCAACCTGGTTCCAGCTTGCCCTATGGGGCTTGGGATTTTGGCAGCAGGAAGGGGATGGCAGTATTAATTGCCATTGTTTGCCTGTAGCAAAAATGCCCAACCCATGGGAGCCCCATGGATTCCAAGGCTCCATGAGGCTGCATTTGGCCTGTGGGCTGGATGTTGAGCACCCCTGCTCTAATCTAGGTTTTGCTTTTAATTTGTTCCATTAATGTTTCATCTAATTCCACCAAGTCTTTCAATCCAGTGTTTGTTTGTTTGTTTTTTTTAAACTGATGTTGATCCCTCTACTTCGAAGAACCAAGGAGCATTGCTATCTAACTTTAATGCCTAAAGTATTGCTTGTTCATATATCATATCATAGCATTATGTGGAAGGTTTTGCATTTTTGAAAAAATTAAACTCTTATCAGGGAATGCAAGAAGTCATTATCCTGTTCGATTGCTTGTAATGCTCCTAATTCTCCTTGCTGCTTTAAATACTCAAGGCAAGGTAGGGTGGCACCTTAGAGACTAACTCGCTCCAAGAGGCATAAGCTTTCGTAAGCAGCAGCCGATTTCATTAGCTGCTATGAATAGTCCTTGCTATGAAAGATGCCATCCTGCCTTGACTGACTTCAGACTAACATGGCTAACAAAAAATGATCAGGGGCACAAAGCAGTTGCCATACCAAGAGAGATTGAAAAGGCTGAGACTCTTCATTTTAGAAGGAAGGCTGAAGGGGGATGTATTAGAGGTCTATAATATCAGAAAGGTGTGGACCAAGTGAACAGGGAACTGTTGTTCACCCAATCCTGGAATACTAGAACTAGGGGGCACCCACTGAAATAAGTAGGTGACAGGTTTAAACTTGTTGAGAGAGAGAGTACTTTTTGATGCAATGCATAGTTAACCTATGGAATTCACTTCCTCAGGAGGTGGTGGAGACAAATAGCATAGCCAGGTTCAAAAAGGTTGAATAAATTCATGAATGATTGATCCTAGTAATGGCTATTGAGCAGAATGGTTGTAGATGGCTTCCTTTGGCATCTCTAAAACAATACTGGTGGATACCAGGGAGGATATTGTATAGATCACTCTAGAGATCCGGTTCAGTGCTCTCCCTCTATAGCATCCAGTTTTGCTGCTGTTGGAGACAGAATACTGGGCTGGATGGACCATTGGTCTGACCTAGTATGCAGTTTTGATGTTTTTATCCTTATGTGAAACCTCCTTTTATTTTTTTTACACTCGTTCACCCTGTTTTAAACCTTAGTAGTCATCGTGAACTTCGGTTGGAATTCTTTATATGTTACTTGAAATTAGAATGGGTTACACATTTTTGATGGTGAGTTCAAAGGAAGGAAGAGAAATAATTAGAGAAAGCCAGCAATAAATTTTTACATTTTGAGTCACTTAACCTTTCATGAAAAAAGAGCTTTTATGTATTGAAACCATTACTTCTGGTGTTGAAATATTTCATGATACAGAAATCCATAAAGGCTTGACTATATATGAATAAAAATGTGAGACTGATTAGCAAGATAGACTTTCAGCTAGTCAGTCATCAAATAATCCCAGACCTGTAAGCTTCTCCTTGGCTAGGAGTTAAGGTCTCATTTTTTCAGTCTCTTTCATCAGCAGTAAACTCTTTTCTTTGCCTTTATTCTTTCTAGCCTAAACTTATTCCCTTCACTCTAGGCCTGCTTACTTTCAACTTTTCCCCCTCACCTTATTATGCTAGTGCTTTTTCTCACATTTTACTCTACTTCAAATTGATTTTTTTTTTTCCACTGCCTTTTTCTACCCAGTGTTTTCCTGGTTTTGTCAGACCACACATCCTAGCCAGCTTTCATGGGATCATAATTTCAAATGTTTCTTTCCGTAAAAAGAACAAGAATTGAAACCATTTCTGTGCTGCTTTGAATAGTCCTAATGATTAAATGTCTAACACGCTGTTCAGCTCCCTCTTATTTGACATGCATCTGGATCTTGCAATTTTCTTGTGTGTGTGTATACAGATATGTCTTATACACATTTTTAAATAGTAAATGAGTTTCACATTGAGGTACCCACTAATTTAAACTGTTGGTCACAATTTCAAAAGAATAGGTTTTTATAAAACTATATATAAAAATCAATCCATTTTTTACTATGCAGTAGGGACTTGGATACAGCATTAATATAAACCATCTTTTTAAGAGAAGACCAAACTATAACATGCAAAGATTTATATACAGCATTGATTTGTAAACTTTTAAGTTCTGATTAATTAAATGTAGCTTTTAATTGAATTTTATTTTCTGTTCCTAGGTCAAAAGAACATACTCCCATGGTACATATAGAGCTGGCCCAATGAGACAGATAAGTTTGGTTGGAGCAGTGGATGAGGAAGTAGGAGATTATTTTCCAGAGTTCCTTGATATGTTGGAAGATTCACCCTTCTTAAGAGTAAGAGAGAGAGAATGCTTTCTCAAATGCAGTGTACTAATTTTGCTGTGGAGTGGTGTTTGCCTAGGTTAATTTACCAGATGTATTCACTTAAGTGTTTTAATTTGGTTAAATAGTTGTTTCTAAAGAACTCAATCCTCAAAGCTCAAGGGAAGTCCATTGTGTCCCACAAGAAATGCAGTCAGAGGGCAGGGAAGCCCCTTTGGCTCAACAGGGAACTTCTAGGTCTCCTGAAACTTTAAAAGAGATGCCTACATCAGATGGAAAGCTGGAATCATTGCCAAGGAGGACTGCTCGGCACTAGCCTGTACCTGTAGGGAGCAGACCAGAAAAGCCAAAGCAGTAAACAGGCTCAGGTTAGCCACCGGAATCAAGGATAACAAAAAGTTGTTCTTCAGATATGTGGGAAGTTGGAGAAAGAACAACGCTGGCCCCCTGCGAGATCAAATGGGACAGCTGATGCCCAAGAAAAAGTTAATCTCCTAAACTATTACTTTGCGTCAGTTTTCTACTCACCCAAAGGGGTCATGCTGTCAGACAGGACGCAAAGCACCCAGGGCTCAGGAGATGGGCCCACAATTGACACAGATTAAGTGAGGGAACGCCTTGAGAGGCTAGACATCCATGAGTCTGTGGGCGGAATGCACCCAAGAGACTTAAAAGAGCTGGCGGGCATGAGGGAATGCCCTATGGCCAAGATGCTTGAAAGCTTATGGTGCTTGGGTGATGTACTGGAAGACTGGAAAAGAACCAATGTGGTCCCAATCTTTAAGAAAGGGTGGAAGGAAGATCCAAGGAATTACAGATCTATCAGTCTGATGTCCATCCTTGGAAAGATTTAGGAGAAAATTATCAAGGGATCCATCTGCAACAGGCTAACGGAAGGCAACCTACTGAATGCCAGCCAACATGGTTTTATTATTGGAACCTCATTTTCTTCTATGATCAGGTGACACTTTTCCTGGACAAGGGAGATGAGGTTGATGTCATTTATCTGGATTTCAAGAAGGCCTTTAACTTGGTCATGAGGACATCATGGAAGACGACCAAGCTGAGGAACTATGGCCTTGACCATCTCATGGACTGATGGCTGGGGAACTGGCTCCGGGGTCGGACCTAAAGGGTACTAGTTGGTGGGAACAAATCAAGGTGGCGCGAGGTTACCAGTGGAGTCCTTCAGGGCTCAGGGTGGTGCTCTTCAATATCATAGTTAACGATCTAGATTCGGGCGTCGGATGCGGACTGGCAAAGTTCGCAGATGACACTGAATTATGGAGGAAGGCAGTCACATTGGAGGACAGGCTGGGGGTACAGGTCGACCCGGACATGCTTGCAAAGTGGGCGGACCAAAACCTGATGGCATTCAATGTAGAGAAATGCAGGGTACTTTACCTTGGGAGGAAAAACCAGCATCATACTTACTTATAGGTTCGGTGGTGCTACGCTCACTAGCACTGCAACCGAAAGAGACTTGGGGTCTTAATTCACCACAAGATGAGCATGAGCCCCCAGTGTGATGCTGTGGCTGGAAGAGCAAACGAAATTTTGGCATGCATCCACCGATTCATCTCAAGCAAAACCAGGGACATCATCCTCCTGCTATACTTGGCCTTTGTGAGGCCGCAGCTGGAGTATGAC